AAAAAAATAAAATAAATTTAAAAAAATTAAAAAAAATAATAAAGAAAAGAAAACGCTTTACTGAGTCAGGTAAGCCAGACCCAAAAAGAGGAATATGGTATGTATTCACTCATAAATGGATTCTAGTCATAATTAAAGCTCTTTGAGCCTGTTATTCGTGATCCTAGAGAAGCTGGATAGGAGGGTGAACCTGAAGAAAATTCAGGTAGTTTTCCTCCTGGAGATTGGAAATAGACAAGAGTCCCAGGTAACCTCGGGTGCATGGGGGGGTAGGAGGGTTGTTGGAAGGGGAGAGGGTTAGAGAGAAGGGAGCAGGGGAGGGATGGGGAAAGCCCGGGGGGACTGGGAGGGGAGGAGGGAGGAAGGATAGATACGGGATCAGGGAAGAATATATCTCAACTAAGGGAGTCAGTTTAGGGTTTACTAGAGACTTGATTATAAATGGGATCCCAGGTCCAAGGAGAGACCCCCAGATTGTTCTCTGGACAGAGGAGAGGGTGCCTGAACTGGCCTTGGCCCATAACCATACTGATGAATATTTTGCTTATCACCATAGATCCTTCATCTGGCGATGGATGGAGATGGAGACGGAGACCTACATTGGAACACTGGACTTAACTCCCTAGGTCCAAACGAGAAGCAGAAGGAAAGAGAACGTGAGCAAGAAAGGCAAGATCAGAGGGAACCTTCATCCGACGAGGGATGGCGATACAGACGGAGACCCACATTGGAGCACCGGATGGAGTCCCCCAAGGTCCAAATGAGGAGCAGAAGGAGGAAGAACATGAAAAAGGAAATCAGGACCGCGAGGGGTGCGATCACCCACTGATACAAGGGGACTGATCTAATGAGAGTTCACCAAGGCCAGTTGTCTGGGACTGAGTGAGCATGTGATCCAGCCAGATTCTCTGAATGAGGCTGGATTCTCTGAATGTGGCTGGCCCGGAGTCTTTCTGAAAAGCCATTGACAATGACACTGGGACTTGTTTCCTCTGCATATGCTGGATTTTTGGGATCCAGTCTGTTCGGATACTCACCTTCCTGGACCTGGAAGGAGTGAGGAGGAACTTGAACTTCCCACAGGGCTGGAAGCCCTGACTGCTCTTAGGGATGAAGAGGGAGGAGGAGGGGGAGGGGGAAGGGGGAGGGTGTTTGGAGGAAGGGCGGAAATGAAAACTTTCATAATTTAATAAACTTAAAAAAAAATTTAAAAAAAAGAAGGTGAACCTGAAGAAAATTTATATAGTTATCCTCCTGGATAATAGAACTAGGCAAGATTGCCAAGCAAAGTCGGGTGCATGGGGGGTGGGAGGGGTTGAAGTAAGGGAAGATAGTTAGGGAGAGGGGAGAGGGCAAGAATTGGGGATGGCTTGGGGGAATGGGAGGGGGGAGGGAGGAAGAATGGTTATGGGAGCAGGGAAGTTTATATCGCAACTAAGAGAGCCATTCTAGGGTTTGCAAGAGACTTGATTCTTGAGGGGTTCCCAGTAAAAATTAAATAAAATAAATAAATAAATAAAAAGAAAAAGAAAACGCTTTACTAAGGCAGGTAAGCCAGACCCAAAAAGAGGAATAAGATATGTATTCACTCATAAGTGGATTCTAGCCATAATTAAAGGTCTTTGAGCCTATTATTCGTGATCCTAGAGAAGCTAAATAAGAAGGTGAACCTGAAGAAAATTCAGGTAGTTTTCCTCCTGGAGATTGGAAATAGACACGAGTTCCAGGTAACCTAGGGTGCGTGGGGGGTTGGGACGGTAGTTGGAAGGGGAGGAGGTTAGAGAGAAGGGAGCAGGGGAGGAATGGGAAATGCTCGGGGACTGGGAGGGGGGAGGGAGGAAGGATAGATATGGGTTCAGGGAAGAATATATCTCAGCTATGGAAGTCAGTTTAGGGTTTACTAGAGACTTGACTGTAAATGGGGTCCCAGGTCCAAGGAGGATCCCCAGAGTGTTCTCTGGACAGAGAAGAGGGTGCCTGAACTGGTCTTGGCCCATAACCATACTGATGAATATTTTGCTTATCACCATAGATCCTTCATCTGGCAATAGATGGAGATAGAGACGGGGACCCACGTTGGAACACTGGACTTAATTCCCTAGGTCCAACCGAGAAGCAGAAGGAAGAAGAACGTGAGCAGGGAGGGCAAGATGAGAGGGAACCTTCATCCGGCGATGGATGGCGATGCAGACGGAGACCCACATTGGAGCACCGGACTGAGCCCCCCAAGGTCCAAAGGAGGAGCAGAAGAAGGAAGAACATGAAAAAGGAAATCAGAACCACAAGGGGAGCGATCACCCACTGATACAAGGCGACTGATCTAACGAGAGTTCACCAAGGCCAGTTGGACTGGGACTGAAGGAGCGCTTGATCCAACCAGATTCTCTGGAGGAGGCTGGATTCTCTGAATGTGGCTGGCCCGAAGTCTTTCTAAAAAGCCATTGACAATGACTCTGGGACTTGTTTCCTCTGCATATTCTGGATTTTTGGGGATCCAGTCTGATTGGATACTCACCTTCCTGGTCCTGGAGGGAGCGGGGAGGAACTTGAACTACCCACAGGGCGGGAGACCCTGACTGCTCTTGGGGATGGAGAGGGAGGAGGGGAGGAATTGGGGAGAGTGGGAGGGCATTGGGACGAGGGGCGGAAATGGAGACTTTTGTATTTTAATAAACTTTGAGAAAAAAAATTACATGGCCAAGCTGAAAAGAAAAAGAAATAAAAATACTGGCAAACCAAATCCAAGTACACATAAAAATATATCCATTATGATCAAGTAGACTTCATCCCAGAGATGCAGTGCTGGTACAACATATGAGAATCTAGCAATGTAATCCATCATATAAATAAACTAAAAGAAAAAAATATATGATCATTTCATTAGATGCTGAAAAGCATTTGACAAAATTCAACACCTCTTCATGATAAAGGTATTGGAGAGATTAGGGATACAAGGATCATATCTAAATACAAAAAAAGTAATATACAGCAAGCCAACAACAAACATCAAATTAAATGGAGAGAACCTCAAAGCAATTCCATTAAAATCAGGACCAAGACAAGGCTGTCCACTCTCTCCATATCTCTTCAACATTATTCTTGAAGTTCTAGCAAGAGCAATAAGACAACAAAAGGGGATCAAGAGGATTCAAACTGGAAAGGAGGAAGTCAAACATTCGTAATTTGCAGGTGATATGATAGTGACCCAAAAACTCTGCCAGAGAACTCCTACAGCTGATAAATACCTTCAGTGCTGTGGCAGGGTACAAGGTCAACCCAAAAACATCAGTAGCCCTCCTATACACAAAGGCTAAAGATGCGGAGAGGGAAATCAGAGAAACATCACCTTTCACAATAGCCACATGTAGCATAAAGTATCCTGGGTTAACACTAACAAAGGAAGTGAAAGACCTATTTCACAAGAACTTTAAGTCTTTGAAGAAAGACATAAGGGAAGATAGCAGAAAATGGAAAGATCTCCCATGCTCTTGCATAGGAAGGATAAACATATTAAAAATGGCAATCCTACCAAATGCAATCTATAGATTCAATGCAATCCCCATCAAAATCCCAACAAAATTCTTCACAGACCTTGAAAGAACAATAACCAACTTCATATGGAAAAACAAAAAACCCAGGATAACCAAAACATTCATATACAATAAAGGAACTTCCAGAGGCATTAACATCCTTGACATCAAGCACTATTACAGAGCTACAGTAATCAAAACAGCTTGGTATTGGCATAAAAACAGAGACGTTGAGCAATGGGATAGAATTGAAGACCTGGATATTAATCCACACACCGCTGAACACCCGATTTTTGACAAAGAAGTTAAAATGATACAGTGGAAAAAAGAAAGCATATTCAACAAATGGTGCTAGTATAACTGGATGTCAACCTGTAGAAGAATGATAATAGATCCATATCTATCACCATGCACAAAACTCAAGTTCAAATAGATTAAAGACCTCAATAAAAATCTGAACACACTGAATCTGATAGAGGAGAAAATGGGAAGGAGCTTTCAATGCATGGGCACAGGAAACCACTTCCCAAGTATAACCTCAGTAGCACAGACAATAAGAGCAAAAATGAAGAAATGGGCCCTCCTGAAACTGAGAAGCTTCTGTACAGCAAAGGACACAGTCAATAAGACAAAAAGGCAACCTAATGAATGGGAGAAGATCTTCACCAACCCCATATCAGACAAAGGACTGAGCTCCAAAATATATAAAAACTCAAGAAATTGGATATTAAAATTTTAAATAACCCAATTAAAAATGGGATACTGAACTAAACAAAATTCTCAACAGAAGAATTTCAAATGGTCGAATAATACTTAAAGACATATTCAACTTTCTTAGCTATCAGGGAAATGAAAATCAAAACAACTCCTAGATTCCATCTTACACCTGTCAGAAGAGCTAAAATTAAAAAACAACAATGATAGCATATGCTGGAGAAGATGTGGAGTAAGGGTGACACTCATTCTTTGCTTGTGGGAATGCAAACTTGTACAACCACTTTGGAAATCAGTGTGGTGTTTTCTCAGTAAATTGGGAGTCAACCTACCTCAGGATCCAGCAATACCACTCTTGGGAATGTACTCAAAAGCTGCTCAATCATACTACAAAATCGTTTGTTCAACTATGTTCATAGCAGCACTATATGTAATAGCCAGAACCTGGAAACAACCTAGATGCCCCTCAATGGAAGAACTGATAAAGAAAGTGTGGCAGTCTATACATTAGAGTACTACTCAGTGGTAAAAAACAATGACATCTTGAATTTTGTATGCAAATGGATGGAATTAGAAAACACTATCCTGAGTGAGATAACCCAGAGCCAAATATATGAATATGGTATGAACTCACTCTGGAAGGGAAGAGGGAGGAGGGGAGGAAGTGGAAATTTGGATTGGTAAATTTTTAAAGTAATAAAATGAAATAAATGTCTTTGAGCCTCTATCAACTCCTATATTTAATAGGACACTCACCATTTCCTTTGAGGAACCACTCAAAATAATTCATCAGAGACTCTGGATTCTTAACAAGGTTTGTCTTATGAAAGAAAAAATAACCAGACACAAGAACATCTCTGGGATTTCGGATGACATAGATCGTCTGAAATGGAAAAACATGTATATGAGGGTCAATATAGTCATTCTTCACTTTTACCTGGTACAATTTATATGAAATGTCAATCAAATATCGTGAAGTTTCTAAAAACATTTAATAATTTTATTTGGAAAAACCATACTTAAGTACAATATAGTCAAGATCCTCTTTCATACTTTAATTTGATTTACAAATATGTAACAGCAAAATGACCGAGGTCACTAATACTGTAAAAAATAAAAACAATAATAAAAACCCAACACTGATTCTCTAGTTCTAAAAAAATATCTTACAGTGTGAAAGATTATTCATCCAATGTGAAAGAGCATCTTATCTACACAGAATATTGAGTACTGTGCTTAATCAAAATGCGATATGACAAACTTTTGG